TGTCCCTTTATGGTACTTTCTTAGGGAATCTCAACACCATTTAATGAGAGACTTGGGAAGGGATTTCTTGCAAAATAAGAAATACTGTCTGTGACTTGTGTTGGGACTCTGTTGCTCTGTGTGTGTGTGTGTGTGTGTGTGTGTGTGTGTGTGTGTGTGTCCCTTGCAGATACTGTTTAGCTTACATATAGAATTGGGGAGTAGTATCAGGTGATGATTATAAGAACCAAACAAAGCTAAAACCTTTCTGAGTACTGAAAAAAGTGATTTAAATCTTAGGAAAATGAAGTGAAGGACTCTGTATGTGTGTGCTTCAATGTATACACATGGATAGGATGAAATGAGAGAGATAGACTTGTGTGTCATGGAATAAGCAGCTTTTGTTAAAACTGTTGGTGGCTGCTGTTCCTGATTCAGACTTCCTGAGACAAAGTAGCCAGTGGCTTCAAAATTAAATGACGGGAAAGACAATGTAGAAAATGCCTCTGTGTTATAATAGCTTATACAACATATCCACAGACCTCAGAGTGAAAGGAATGGATGAAAACTATCTATCAGCTTTAGAGATCTGCTCATTGGCCCAGTTCACTGCATAGCACAATAGAAGTACATTCTGGCATTTTCTAAAGCATGAAGCAAGTGTTTTTTTGAGTTTTTGTACAGTGCTAGTTTTTACGTTTCTCTTCTAGACACGGGCAGGATTCTGTTCTGTGAGTTTTATACACGCATGACTTTTAGGTATATTCTATCAGGAAAACATATCAGGAAAACTGCTACTCTTACGTGACTTCATAGGGAGCCAATGTCATTGCTGATCTTAGTCCATTTATGGAGGGAGGATTCATTAAGAATTTAAGTGCCAGTCTTAATTCATTTCATATTTTCACAATTTCTAATGTTAATTCTTTGTCAGATCATTATATCCTAGTTCTTGTTCTGAGAATTGTCTTAATAGTAGTGAAATCTGATTCTTCCAATTCAGACTTTATATAAGTTGGAATGTCTAGTAGTTGATTTTCCTCTATTTAAACCAAAGAGGGGAAGAAAGAATGTTGGAGCATCTAGACATTCCCAGCAGAAGAAAATGTATCATTCAGAGAAGCATAGCTTTTAAAAAATTGACTCTTTAGAAATAACTAGACTATATATACTTAAGGAATCTTGAGCCTGGCATATGGCACAAACATGTAATCCCAGCACTTAAGTTCAGACCACCCTGGACTTCATTACAAGTTTCAGGACAGCGTGGATTACGTAACAAGATTCTGTCTAAAGAACATAAACAAAAAGTCCACATTTAGACAGTGTCAGTCTTACTTTACCACTGGATCCTATTGATTAGTTTAAGATGAATTTCTCACACATCTTTTCACCTATCCATTTCAGTTTGTATTACTATAATATAAGGAAGAACTCTCCTCTAACTGTATACACTAAGCCAGGGGCAGTAGTGTACACCTTTAGTCCCAGTGTTCTGGAGGCAGAGGAAGATAGATCTCTGTGAGTTTGATGCTAACCTGGTCTACGTAGTGAGTTCCAGGCCAGCCAAGGACCCCCTCTCTAAAAAAAAAAAATTATACTTTGCCTGGCATGGTGGAATGTGCCTGTAGTCCTAGCACTTAGGAGGCAGAGGCATGAGAATCATGAATTCAAGGTCAGCTTAGACTACATAGTGAGACCCTGTCTCAAGACACCCAAAGCAGAAAATGGACCAGCAAGATGACTCAGTGGATGAAGGTGCTTGCCACCAAACTGTATGACCTAAGTTCAAGGTCATACCTAAGGAACTGACATGGTAGAACAATAGAACTGACTCCCTGCAAGTTGTTATCTGACCTCCACATGCTGGTTATGGCATGTACACCCCTCCCCAACCACTAAACAAATAATAAGAAAGACACCGGGCATGGTGGCTCACACCTTTAATCTTAGCACTAGGGAGGTAGAGATAGGTGGATCTCTGGGAATTCGAGGCCAGCCTGTTCTACCTAAAGACTTCCAGGCCAGCCAGGGCTGTACAATGAGATCCTGTCTCCTCCCCCCCACAAAAAAAAAAGAAAGAAAAAAAAAGAAACCCCAAATATCTGTCATCTTCCCCCTTTTTTAAAAAAAGCAATAGTATTTCTCTGATACTATCAAATAGCTAGTTGCTATTCATATTTCTTCTTCTGTCCAGTAATATTTTTAACCGTTTAAATGAGATTTAATTTATGAATTGGTATATTGTAATTGATTAACATGCCTTATAAATGTCTTTTAATCTAGGTTTCATATTCAGTCTACTGATTTTTAGTTCTTTGTCATTTCTTCTTTATGGAGGAAGCAAGTGACTTTCAGACTTAGACTCCACTCTCCTTCATGATTAAAAGCTCAAGTAGGGATTTTGTCATATATCATATGAATATTGATATTCACTGTATTAAAATAATCATTTGCATTATTTAAAAGTACTGATAAACTCACTGTATGATACTTCTTGTAAGCACAATTTTTATTTTTGTGGATATCATACATGAGTATAGTGTTTGCATTATTTCCATCCTTCCCAGTTCCCCTCCAACTCCTCTTGTGTTCCCTGCACCTCCCCCAATTTCTTTTCCTCCTCTTTAATTATTATTATTACATATACATACATACATTTACACACACACACACACACACACACACACATATATATATAGTGCACTGAGTGCATTCAGTGGCACTTGCATGTACTATTTAGGACTGTCCACTTGTGATTAAATAACCTCTCAAGGAGCCAGTCCCTGGGGAAAACTGATTCTCCCTCCTCATTCATTGAGTGCCTGTAACTCTTCATCTTGAGGTGTGTACGGAACAGAAGACTAAAGAAAATGATGAGCTGAGCAGGATCTGTGATGACCTCATCTCTAAGATGGAGATCTGACCAGAGAGCCACAGCCATCGCCAGCCCTCTCCTGTCTGTCTCTAGTCCATCTAGCTGATTTGTCTCTTAGTTTCCTGTTCTTTTAACCCTGACTCTTTTCTAAACTACTTTGCTTTTAAAAGAAGACTAAAGTTTCTTAATTTAAAAAAAGTGCGTATGTGTATATAAATGCACTGAATTCATTTAGTGGTGCTCCTGTGTACCTGAGTTTAGGGCTGCCCACCTGGAATTAGATAACCTCTCAGGGAGCTAGTCCTTGGAAAAAACTGTTTCTCCCTCTCTGATTGGCTATAGTTCTTCATCTCGAGGTAGAATCTCTTGAAATTTCCTCATCTATCTTGTGGTAAGTCAGCTGGTTTTGTCATTATATGCAGCTCTTGTTGGACTACTGCACTGTGAAGGTTTCATTACTGTAGCTTCCCTATCATATTTAGAATGCCGTAAGTAGCAGCAGGTATCTTGTCCCTCTGGCTCTTACTTTTTTTCCGCCCCTTCCTCCTGAGCCTCAGATGTAGAAATGATGTCTTTAAGTGGGAAATCAGTTCCTTCTTCCTTCTATGGGGAAGCTTAGTATTTAGATACCTAAATCTGCATGTTAGGGTATCATTGGTTATTGGTGGTGTCTGGACTGTGCTAGTGGACTTAGATAGAAAATAGACATTATTAAGATGAATGCATCATGAATTCACATGATACTTTCCAATCAAGTCTGGGATCCACTGATCTTTTCTCATCAGTCTGTGGTACCCATGTAATTACTTGTTTCATATTGGATTATACATACAGCAGCATCAAAACAGAATCAATATTACAACCAGAGATATGATTCTGGAAAATAGTTTGTTTTACCATTCAAAATTAAACATAAAAGCATTATCATGTGTAGCTAGCCAGCCAAATAGCCTATCATAATTGAACCTTATTATTGATATTTGATGTATATTTTAACAGTTTGTTTTTTAGAACAACAAATTGGGCAGATATTTCAACTGACTTGGAAAAACATTTTCTTTCTGAAAAATCATATTCACATTTGTTGTGTTAGTAGGACAGACCTGCAGTTGGTAAGTTAGTGTAGATGACAGTGAATAAATGCACTCGTTTCCTTTTTTTTCATTATTGGAATGGAATCTTTACGTTTTATTTAGTAGTTCCCTTATCTTTCATTCCACTTTCTGAGATTGCAGTCACCTGAAGACTCAGTTACCCGAGGTCAAAAGCAGCCCCAAAATACTCAATGGAATTGTCTAGAAGTGAGCAATCCATCAATTTTAATTGTTCTTCTTAATAGCATGATGAGCTCTCACTCCTGCTCCATCATGTCCAGGAATGAGTCATCTTTTGATCTAGGGAGTCTATGCTGTATACACTACCCACTTCTTAGGCATTTGATGACTATCTCAGTTTTCCAGGGATCACAGTATGTGTATTCAAGTAAATCTCAGTTTACCTGATGTTGGTCCAAACTCTCAGAACAGTGATATAGATGTTTGTATATCCAAATGAGAAGTCATTAATTGTTTAAGGGAAAAGATGAAAATTCTCACCTTAATAAGGAAAGAAAATCATATGCTGAGCCATTAAGATTGACAGTTGGTTACTGTTGATCTCTTACGGTGGGAGCCTAATTTATAAATGAAACTTTATCAGTATGCTTAGGATAAAAACAGTACAGAGCTACAGAGCTGGTGCTATAGCTCAGTGGTAGAGTGCTTGCCCAGAGCTGGCTTCAGCTTCCCACACCACACAATAAAACAAAAACATAGTATATATATGGTTTGCTATCATCTGCATTTTCTGGAATCCCCTGGAAGATTGGGAGCATATCTTCAAAGATAAAGGGGACTACTGTACAAATCCTATTCTTGTATTCCTACATATTCCTAGATGTTACTGAACTCAGACCTCACACATATGAGGCAAGTGCTGTGCTACTGAGCTGTGTCTCAAGCCCCATTAATGATACTTTTGAAGCAGTTTTTATATTAATGGATCAAGAAAATGATACAGTTAAGGGAAACTGAAGTAATAATCACTAAATTAGGAGCTTATCACCTGAAATATTTACTGACGTTCCTTCTTTTTCCCTTTCTAGGTTAAAACATAAATCATGACTGAATCTGCCTCTAGCACAAGTGGTCAAGAGTTTGATGTATTCAGTGTTATGGACTGGAAAGATGGAGTTGGTACCTTACCAGGAAGTGACTTAAAGGTAAACTGTCCTCATCATGTATAACTATGTGTTATGTGCTTCTGCATGTATATTTATTTTATAATGAATATATATGTGAATATATAGTTTGTCATCTTCTGCAGTAAACTTGTAAGATAATTTTAATTCTTGGGCTATAGAACTGAGAAATACTTTTGAAATGTGCTTAGTTTGTAGGAATTAATTGATAGTGTGAGAATCATCTGTTTCAGCTCTATTACAATGACTAATTGATGTAGAAATGACAGGCTTTGAAGATCTAGCTTTTGGAGTATTTTAGTAATGAGTTTTGTAACTTCGAATAGATAACCACATTCCCTGGGTTCTAATGTTGTCATGTGATTTAATCACTGGATTAAATCATGAAAATACTGAATAAACAGACACTCACCCCCTTTGAATTATTTATATTATAAATTTGGATTTTTCACGTGTTTAGCAGTAGGTCCTTCCTGTAAGACTATGTTCTTATATAGAGGAGAATTCTCTTCATGAGCTTCAGTCTGCTCCCTGCATATGTTCTGTGTCTCTAGCCACGTTGAGCCTACTTCAGGACCACAACCCCTGCTACCCCATGAATCATGATTGTGCAACCTCTCACCTCCCACCTGAGGAGTCAGCCACCCCCACCCACTTCTTTTCTAATTTGCTTTTGTTCTGATCCTATCTCTGAGACCTTGAACCTGTCTGTGGCCTTTTAGACTTTGTGCTTGTACTCAGTTGTTAAGCTGTTTGAACTTCCTGTCTCTCTAACTAGGTGCCACTTGGCCTGGCTCTATAATGCTTTATGTTCTGGGTTGTCTCAAATAGAAAAGGCTTCTTAGAACCTAATCCTTTTGATGGCTCCAGGATAAGTGTCTTAGTCAGGTTCCTGCGCTTACTTAGTCTCAGGAGTGCAATTTATTTATTTATTTAAAAATTACTTATTTTTTATATGTATGAGTGTTTTGCCTGCTTGTAAGTATACCATGTGTGCAATGCCCACAGAGCCAGAAGGGGGTCAGATCCCCTGGAACTGGAGTTAAAGACAGCTGTTAGTCATCAGGTGGGTTCTAGGAACTGAACCCAAGTCCTCTGCAAGAGAAGCCTATGCTCTTAACTGCTGAGTCATCTCTCTAGCCCCAGGGGTACAATTTAGACCATCTGCCTGCTATAGGAAAAATGCTTGAGGTTTTAATTAAGTACAGAGTGCCACTGTCTGAATTTAGTGATACAAAAATGAAATTATTTTTTTTCTAGTGGCTATCAAAATATAATTAGGAATATTTAATTCTGGTGTTCTGTGATGCCATACTGTAACTATAGTCTTAAGCAATGTATGATACTTCAACTAAAAAAGATTTCAGAGGTTCTTAACGTTAGAAATGACAAATGCAAGCCAGGCCTGGTGGGGCGTACCTTTAATCCCAGCACTTGGGAGGCAGAGGCAGGCAGGCAGATCTCTATGAGTTCAAGGCCAGTCTGGTCTACATAGTAAGTTCAAAAAAAAAAAAAGGAATTATAAATGTTTGAGGAGATAGGAATGCTTATTCCCTTGATCTGTATATGTATATTAAATGTCTGTGTGTCTGTGTGTGAATTAGCAAATAGTACCATAAATATGCATGTAGATTATGGGCCCATTTAAAATTATTAAAGAGAGAAAGAAATTTTTGGTTTTAGTTCTGTACAACCTTGAGCAAGTCATGGAACCAGTTAATCCTTTTCGGTCAAGATTGCTCTGCAGTACAATACGGTTATACGTGAATACTGAGGATTTTATCTGCTGGGACATTCTCCAAGTATCCATCTGCATGAGATATAATGGAGATAAAAGGCTGAATTTTTTGAGAAGGAAAAACCATGTCTCACTCTTAATGATGTCAAACACATATTAGCCATGTGAGCTTTGTTTAAATTATTTAAGAGCAGGGGGCTAGAGAGACAGTTTGGGGGTTAGGAGCACATAAGCTCACAATCACCTGTAACTCCAGCTTCTGGAGCTCTGACACCCACTTCTGGACTCCAGGAGCACCTGCACTCACATGTGCACATTCCCACACACATAAACACAATTAAAATAAAGCAAGTCTCAAGAATAAAATAATTATTTAAAATCACTATATTCTGGAAGATGTATATGCAAAATGGGCTATTAGAATCAACAAGATACATAACTGTAGCATGGTTATGAATGCAAATACTTAAATTGTGCATTTTCTGAGTTTGTAATATATTATAAAAACTGCTTTTTATGTTGCTTCACATTCATATTATTCTTGTATATTTTTATCTCCTCATTTTTTTTTTTTCCATGTCACGTACATGATGAAATTTATAACTTTTTTTAAGGTCACATTTTTTTTTTTTTTTTTTTTTTTTTTTTTAGAAGGGATTGAACTCACAGAGATCCGGCTGCCTCTGCCTCCTGAGTGCTGGGATTAAAGGCGTGTGCCACCACTTCGGCTTTTTAGGTTAGCTTTTGACAGTAGTTTCCATCCCAAAGACATCTGGATTGCTTTAAGGTTTTCTAAGCAATGAATTTTAAAAATTAGCCTATTATTTTTTATTAAGATAATCAGGTAATTAAGTCACTTAATGTATTATCATCAGGGTTATTTGATAGGACTTTTAGACTCGTGTAATTACTTGGTAATTGCCATGAGTCCAGTCTACTTTATGTACTGTAGACAGTTTGGTACTTCACTTTAGAAATAATTCACACACCTTTAATCCCAGGACTCAAGGGGCAGTGGCAGATAGATCTCTGTGAGATCGAGGCCAGCCTGGTGTGTATGTAGAGGGTTCCAAGCCAGCAGGAGCTACAGAGAGACCCTGTCTCAAAAACAAACAAACAAACAAAAAACCAATAACAAAACAAGAAACCAAAACCAAAAACTAGAAAAAGAAAAAAAAAAAATCAAATGACTGGGGTCGTGGCTTTGTGGGTAAGAGAGAGAGATTGCTGTGCAAATCACGAAGACCTAAACTTGAATCCCCAGCATCTGTGTAAAAAGACATTGGGGGCAGAGACAGGAGGACTGCTGGAGCTCTCTGGTTGTCAGTCTAGCTTTAGGTTCAGTGACAGACCATTTCTCACGTGAGTAAGGCACAGTGTGATGAGCAGGGCATGGACTTCACTAGCCTTTCTCATGTGTGCACTTGTGTGTACACCACACATACACATATACACCTCTCTCTGTCACACAAACATACACACAAATTTAAAGATTATACCCTTATAACCCTTTTTATTTGAGATTCAGAGCCCATCTTATTGATTATATTGCTTAGCATTTCTTACATTAAAATCTTGGTTGCATTTTACCTTCATTATATTTAATCATTTCATTTACCTCTTTTTTTGTCTGTCTCTTGTCAGTTTACAGATTGGGAAACTGAGGCGTAGAGTGTTAATTTGTTCAAGTTAGTTATTGCAGAACTAGTCCTCAAGATGAGACTTCTCTAGTATTAAAATTGATTTTCTTATCACTGGAACATTGCTATCTAACAGAACACACTAAAATCAACAGATGGCAAGGAAAATGTTGCAAATTTAGAGGGGTGAAGACTTAATTCAGTTGGAGGTATCAGGTAGCCTTTGAAAATTAGGTTATCATTTAAGCTTTAGGTGCCTGAAAATACTTGTCATGATTCTGGGGAGGCACCAAGGGAGAAAGCAAGAGCAGGGCTTCCCCAGGTAGGTGAAGTGGTGAAGAGAATAGAAAGTGACCACTGGCAGTCTTGAAAAATTGCAGCCATTAACAGCATTTTCACCTAAACAAGCTTCAGAAGCTTTACTGTTACCTAATTTATTCTTTCCCGAAAATGCAAGTAAGTTTTAGAAGATTAATGTCTCAGGGTTAGCCACAGGGAAGGGAGTCTAAGTTGTAGTGGGAAGGTGCCTGGCAGGGCTCCCTTGCCAAGTATTTTCTCTACCCAAACTTCCAATGGTTTCTGAAATTTCTAAAGAGAGAATTAGTCTTTTGAATAGGAAGGAGCTAGTCTTTCAGAGTCCCTCAGTAAAATGCAGAAACTCTCCAAGAGAGGGATATCATCTTATCTAGTAAGAATAATTGCCACTTAGCGGAGAGCAAGACCCGCGACAGCAAGGCAGAAACCTAGTTATAAAATTCACCGCACCCTTCTTAAAGCACGCACTCTTCTTAATGCAGTTTTGCTTGTCTTGATTAATGTTTAAAACAGTTTAGTTACCAAACATCTTTGCCCTTCAAACACATTGGTAATTAGAATTCAGATTTTAACATTGAAAGTAATAAAATGAAAATCATAAGCTTAATAGTATCTTTTAATGATCTATTATTGAAGAGACACAAAAAGAGGCAAAAGAGCCTATGCTTCTACAAGCAAAAGTAAGAACAGTTGAGTCGATTAAAGGTAGTTCAAGCCAGGTAAACAAAACCTTGCCACCTGCGTATAGCTAAGACATAATGCTTTCTTTACTGACCTGGACATGTAGAAAAAACTACTATGCCAGTTGTTGGATTTGGACTGCTTAATAAATCTTTCATAATGTTTATTATTTTGATATTCTTAGTTGCAGAATGGATCACTTGAGAAATTTCATATCATTCCAAAGCCATTCATTAAAACAGTTTTAGAAACTGAATGTTTAGTTGGGAAACAGGAAATAAATCAGTCTTTCTGGAATTCTGTCACTGGAACTTGAGTTACATCAGCAGTACTTATTCTTCATTAACATTTTTCTTCATTAGTGACCTTGTAGAAGATCTGTAAATCTATATTGAGAAGCCATAGGAAAATTTGATCCCTGTGCCTTTCTGGCATAGAATGGCATAATTGGAGGTTTTTAATTTTTGAGATAAGTAACTTTAGTAAGAGCATATGTGCTTTATTGTTTCTCTAGTTATAGGGTACCTTTGAGGGTATGGTAAAACCTGTGAATCCTAGCCCCTCAAGTGTGCACATACCATAATTTTATTACTGTCTTGTGTATCAATCCTTGACGTCCATCCTTGTTCTTTGACTTAGGGTTGTTCACTGTGTCTCCAAGTGACACTGAATTTCTACTTTGTGTTTAGATGATCAGTTATGGCAGTTCATATTAGGAGAAGAAAAAGGACAGAGATTAAATGTTGCATTTTTAAAGATTTTAATTTTTAGCTATAAAAGCATTTGAGCCAGATCTTTCCAAGTGTCGTAGTCCTTCCTTTTACTCAGAGCTTCTACTCTGGTTTTCTTTCTCAGTGTTTACAAGGCAGGATGGTTTCAGTTTAGCAACCATTTGGGAACTTCGGCCATAAGATCCTTTCTGTCTAATGTATAGGTTTGATGCTATTTCTCACATCTGTTGTTGGTCAAATATTAGTATCAACAAGTAATGAAAGCAGAATTACTCATCTTAAGTGAATTGCCAAGTTTGTGCCTATTAAAAAAAATCTGAAATCAGAATTGATTTTGCATCATATTCTTTAGTATTATTAAGTAATAGTCATGATATCTTGTTTTATCTACTCTTGCCCAGTAGATGGTACTGTCAGCCTTATTTTGAAATACTCTATTTTCAGAGTTGCTCGTTAAGTTTTGTTTTTTGTTTTTACTTTATGGTTTCTTTTACAAAAAGTAATTTTTAGTTCTTTTCCCTTGAATTAACATTTAACATTTCCTAGGTTCACATGGCGTGGACAGTAAGTATCCTGCAGATTTATTACCTCCAGAATATATAGTAGGGAGAAAATATTCCCATATTCCCGAACTACTTCAGCTTATTCAGTCCGGAAAGTATTTAATAATTGTAGACAGTGAGTGTGGAAAATACATACAATGCCGTGAAAGATCTAAAGCATTTCATTTTCCTTTTGAGCATGATCTTTCTGTCTTTTCATCACCTGCTAACATTTGTGAATCCCTACTGCCATTTTGTTTTATGGAAATTAGGAGAAATGCAGATTCCTTTGGATTTGAATTCCTAAATCTGAGAGAGAACAGAAATGATTACAATAGATAATGATTAAGCGTTCAGCACACAGTATAATCTGGCTGTTGCAGAAACCTGTTTTATTTGCAGGCCACAGTGAGGTGAAAGGAAACTGAGATTAGGAATGAGAATGATATGACATCAGACTGTCCCTTTTAGTGATAAAATTGGCCTGTAATAAGTAGCCTTATTCAGGTCTCAGTAATTTCTCCTTATCTTCCAGTTGTTTTGGAAGGCTGCAGGTACAGTTTATCGAATTTAGAGGACAATAAAAGAAAATGGAAGCATGGCACTGGGGAGGGGATGTGACACAGGTTATGCATTCTCATCTTGGATTAAAAGGAGAAAGATCAGTGTGTCTTCTCTAAATTAGGTGAGCTTGGGTGAAATGAGTTGATTCCTGAAATAAAAGGAGTTCTTTATTAGCTTTGCTTACTAAATGAGCAATAATATGAAATAAATATATTTTAGTATAATCCTAGTAAAGCGTGTCTGAGATGACATATAAAGTACAAGTATTTGGTCACTATCTGAATGCACAGCTATCACAGCACCCGTCGTTTCATTCTAGTCTCCTTCCCCAGTTCCATAAAATATACATAAAATACAAGGGCTTGCCATTGGTAGAAAGCTTATCCAGTATATGATGTTTAACTCTTAGCATGTAGCTAGTTTACTTATAGACTGTGTCTCAGCCATGAACTAAATAATGTCCTGAGGATTTTTGTAGATTTCGCCTTTTTCTTCTGTGTTGTTGCTAGTTTCGGGTAAATGAGTTTGGAGCCCTGGAAGTCATTACAGATGAAAGTGAAATGGAAAGTGTTAAGAAGGCCACTGCCACCACCACTTGGATGGTTCCAACTGCTCAAGAAGGTAAGGTGGAGCCATCTCCTTCTAATTTTTTCCTATTGAGAGATTTGAAGTAAGAATATCTAAGGCTTTATAGAAAGCTGAACTTTGAAAGCCCTGGATTATTTTTGTGTCTCATGTCCCTACATAATTTTTTGTAATGAAACAGACAGGAGCCAGCTTTTATATTTTAAAATAATTATAAACTGTCTTGTTTCCTAATGCCAGATCTGTAATAGCACATGATTAGTTGGAATTTGTCAAGGAAATCCAAGTTGCTAATGGCTACCCAGGTGATTTTGCAAAAAGTCTACCACTTTTTTTTTCTCATCTACTCCGATAGTTGTAACTAACACCTATATGCTGATGACTCCTAAATCTATATCTCCAGCCCCGACCTCTCCCCTGAGCTCCAGGCCCGTATTTCCACCTGCCTACTGGACATCTCCACCTGGATGTCCCACAGGTACCTCAAACTGCACATGTCTGAAATGCAATTCATTTTCTGTTTCTTTCTCCCCTTCCCCTTAAACCTGCTCTTTGCTCTGTAACCCATATTTCAGTTGACAGTAGCACCATCTACCCGGTGGACAGTCAAGAAATCTAGGAGTCATCCTATCCCCATCCCTTGCTCCCTAATGCTCCTGGTTTTTATTCCTTAAATATGTCTTGGATGGCCTTTTCTATTACCACTACAGCTGCCTCAATTTAGGCTCTTAACTCTCACCTGAACTATTGCAGAAGTCTTTTAAATAACCACTTTGCTTCTAACCTACCTCCTTCCAGTTTACCTTGTACCCTGAAGTCAGAGGAGCCTGTATAGACCACTCACCTGCCACTTTGCTAATTTCTCTTTGCCTCTCCAGCAAGCCCTTCAAAGACCTTGGTGGCCTGCACCCACCTGTTTGCTTTGTCTCCCCATTCTGTCCCTTTCTGTGTTGTGTCCTGGTCCTACTGGCATTAGGAAACTGTGTGTCATTTTCCCAGCTCATCTTGTGTTTTCATGCTTCCCTGTATTTGTTCTTGCTGTTTGTTTGTTTCTGGCTCAAATGACATTTCTCTCTTTATCAGTTTCTCTTTGGACTTCAAAGCCTGTTGTGGCATTGTATCTGAAACTCTTTCCCTGACTTTATCTCAGGCTGAATGAATCATTTCTTCCTCTGTGCTCCTTCTAGAACCTGCTCATGCTTCTATTACTGCATGCATCACCTTTTATTATTATAGATACTGGGTTTCTTGCCTGTCTTCTCTTCTAGACTATGAGCTGTCTTGGGCAAGGTCTATACTGACATAATCAGCATCTAGTATAAATTTGTGCCTAATAAATGTTTGCTGAATGAATGATTAGTCTAATGATTCAGAGGAAATGTGGGTTCTTAAATGATTTTTATAAATATGATTCAGGTCAATTACACTGAAATAAAGGTGTTGATTTTGTCAATTAAGTAAAAAATCACCAAAATGTTATAAGCATGAAATAACATAGATGGTCCTTTTCAGTTTTATCAAAGATTCACCTATGATTAAAACTTCAGATCACCAGTGGTACCTTCTGAATTCAGTAGCTAATGAAGTTCTTCATTCTATTTTGAACTCTGTATACAAAGCCTTTTGCAGATCTGTGGTTTATCCTTTTTGAAGGTTTTAAAATAAAAGCGATCTGAGTGATTTCATGCTAAGTCCAGTCCCTCTCCCTCCCAAATTTTATAGTTCAATCAATGATTCATTCAACAAACATTATTCTATTGTGTTGCTAACAAAATTAGAAAAGAAAGTTTAAAATACACCATGGAGTGTTTTCTGAAGTAGTTTTAATTCTTCTTTTTTTTCATCTTCTAGTCTTTTCAGAAAAAACTGGGGTGCCATTCAGGTTGAAGGATCCAGCAAAAGTAGATGGGCTTCAATTTTGTGAGAACTGTTGTCAGTATGGCAATGTAGATGAGTGTCTTTCTGGAGGAAGCTATTGCAGCCAGAACTGTGCTCGCCATGTCAAAGACAAGTAGGTTTCTGTCCTCTTCCATCTGTGAAATGGGTGTAAGAGTCACAAGATCATGGTATCTGAGCATACAGAGGAAAATATGCTGTAGGACATCTGACCCTGACTCATACCTGTGTTCTAGACTTTCTCTTTGGAGACAGATAACCCCTGACCCATTCATTGGACCTTGTGGCTTCTGTCATGCCTGGTCTGTTATACTACTGATGTTCTGTCTCTATAGTTGGCCACTGTTAATGTTAATTTGATTGCACCCATCTGTGTGTATCTAGGTGTTCCTGAGCTATGCACACATTTGTAATGGCAACACAGTTTTGTTTATATTTTGGGAGTTTTTAGGTAATTCAGTTAAAACTCCACATAGGGAACAAAGGTCCCCCTGATGAGATGAGAAGTCAACTCAGCAACATTGGCCATAGTAAATAAGGTGGTAAGTCCTGATAGGATGACCTTAGTGGACCTACTGAAGACATCAGCTGTGACAACAGGGAGTGGTGTGTGACCTATCCATTTGAGGATTTTCTGACAAAGTACAGTTTAACAGCAAGAAGGTGTATTTCTCACATATAATGGCATAGGACAAATAATGACGTAACATTTTTATGTTTTTGTGGAGTTTCCCACATACATTATAATCGGCATAGGAACTGGTTGTCTTTTGTTGGCTGACTCTTTACAGTTATAATTGGCCTCTTCTACTGCATTTGCTATTCTTGATAATTGTTTGGTCCTTGGTTTAGAATTGTCCTGGAGACAATTATCTCTAAATAATTGATTCTTTTATTAGTATGGATGACAGATATGGTAGACATATAAACATATTAGAATCTATTTTACATATATTACTGGTTCCCTTTTGAAGTTAATATATAAGGTAATTTCCACTTTCTGCCCTGACAGATCTCCTATATAACATGATTTTAAATAAAGTTCCCTACATATTGATAGTCTCCTGGTGATTGAATATGTTTCCTTTGGAGAGGGATTTTTAAAAATAATTTTTGCATCAATAATCAACATGTAGATGTTTGATAGGTATTGTTTCCTGTCACTGTTTTGGGGTTATAAACACAACAGAGATCAGAAGGAAGAAAAGGACCTAGGCGAAGATAATGAGGAAGAGGATTCCAAGTGTAGTCGGAAGAAAAAACCAAAATTATCTTTGAAAGCTGACTCCAAGGAGGATGGAGACGAGAGAGATGATGAAATGGTTAGTAGCCCTTATGTGTCCATGTGTAGGCAAAGGCATGCTTCTTGGGATGCCTCCAGTCACCGAATCCGTTCTAGATGCTGGGTTAGGGACCATTTCTGTGAGTAGATTACATACCTCTTCATGTCTTACTGTCCTCATCTCAAAATGGGAGTAGGGAGTAATAGTACCCCTCCCTCAGGATTCAGAAGTGGGATGCCCTGGAATTTATTACTGGAATGAGAGGTAACAATCAGCCTTCAGTTTTGTGGATGAATCTCAAATTCTTCTCACCAGTAAAATGCCAATCCCATTTTGGTAAATTACAGGCAGATCATATATAACCATGTGAGTGGGTAGAAAATAACATATAACTATCAAGTACCTCTGGGGGTTAAAAGTCATTCAAAATGTGCTAATTGAAACATAAATAACCTTCTTGAAGTAGGTATTGGTGGGTTTATATGAACAAAGAACATGGGATCTTGATTTCACTGAAGATGACTATAGAGCAGTTGTTATGTGCTAACCACTATTGAGTGAGAGGGAAATATGGAAGAGACTAAGACATGCAGAGAGACAGGGTCCTTCCTCACAAAGACATTTTGTTCTCACTAAGGGGGCATGTATTAAATAAGCAAAAAGGACCAGAGAGGTATCAGCTCATCCTGAGTGCTGTGATTGACATTTAAAGTAGAGCATTAAGATTGGCTGACTATTCTAAGTTTGGTTTTCAGGGGACTTCAAGAAGGCAGCTGGAAGAATGAGGTGTGAATAGTGAGGCGGCAACTCTGTGCATTGAGCCTTCTGTACAATATAAGTTGTAAGAGAGTGTACCAGAGAACCTATGTAGCACATTTTGTTGGAGGACATACACACAGGAGACCCTGGTTGTCCATGGAGGGTTAGGGCTGAGTGCAATGAGGAAGCCAAGGAGATAAGTTAACCAGAATCCTGGGGTTGCATCGTTTTCTGAGTGGAGTGGGAAGCCACTGGAAGTTAAACGCAAAGGGATGTTGTGGTTTGATTTGTGCTTTATGACCACTGTGCTTTGATGCGTGTAGGTAAGAATAGAGCCAGGGAAGCCAGTTAGAATGTTCTTGCAATGTACTAGGTCAGCAATCCATGGAAGACAGAAGTTAGTAGATTTTATTACAGTTTGATGGGATTATAGGATAGATGAAAAAAAGGGAAAACTCGGGGATCCCATTAATCTTAAGTTTCTGGATTGAACAAATACCTGGAATGTCAAGGCAAGAGTGGAGAGAGAATCAGGAGTCCTTAGGTTGTCATGAGTTTGAGATGCTTGTTACCCACTCATCTCAAAATCCAGTAAGTGGCTGAGCACAGCCACTCAGAATCAGAGACAGGAAGCTAGAGATAGAAGGTGAAAATATTTGGCATAGAAATGACCTTGAGGAATGGGGAGATGGAACTGAGTTTATATCTCCAAGACCCACGTAAAAGGCCGGGTGCAGTGACACATGCTTGTCTTGGTGCTGGGAAGGTAGGGATGAGGATCCCTGGAACCTGCTGGCCTACTTAGTGAAGTTTCAGCCAGTAGAGACCCTGACTCAAACAAAAGATGGAAGGAACCTGAGGTTGTCCTCTGACTTCCACACACACAGGTATCTACACCCCTCCTCACACACAAAGAAATGACCTTGAAAACACAGGGCTAGAGAGGAGCAGAGGTGGGATGGGTGTAGACATCAGCAGATGAGCCTGAGAAAAGGCCTTGAGGTGTGAGGAACACCAGAGCACAGTGGTCATGGGGCTAAGAGCAGAGCGTGTTTTGAGAAGGGGGGAGCAGTGTCTGTTCTTCCAGATAGCAATTTTTGGAAAGGCTCTTTTTTTTTAAATGACCTCAGGCCAAAGCAACAGTTCTCAAATGGACCATATTCTTTTTTTAAAAAAAGTGAAGTGAAATTGAAGAAAAGAACAACAAAAAGCTTCTGACAGACCTCTAACTTTCCACTGAGGTTAATTTCACAAACTTTTAAAGTTGAAATTTTCCTTTCTTACTGTAGGAGAACAAACAAGATGGAAGGATCCTGAGGGGTTCCCAGAGAACCCGAAGGAAAAGACGAGGGGATTCAGCTGTCTTAAAGCAGGGTGAGCTGATTAAGGAAAAGCTGTGCTAACTTTGTAAAACTGAAAATAGTTCACATAAGTAGAAGTTTTAGTCTTTAGTGCTCTTTACACTGTCACAGAGAATTGGTTTGTTTTTCTTTGATGGAATTTTGTCAGTAAAAATGAAGGATTGAGGAAGTAGCTAAAGAAAGGGAAATTAGTTAACTTTCAAGTAGTTACCAGGAATGAATAGAATGCCTTCTTTGTTTTTACCTTTTTATCTATCAACTCAGTGTTTCTTGCTTCTACGCCTTTGCCAAAGCCTCAGTTCTTGTTCATGTCCCAAGATGTTAGGTTTTTGTGCTTGTTCTCAAGCATAGTCTCCCTATGTGGTCCCTTTTTCCCTTTCCTTGAGGCAGCATCTTATTATCTTGGGGAGTCCATCTCTCAAGTCTTCCCCTTGCTGTTTGGTTGGTTGGATAGACTCATTTCCTCCTTTGGCATGGACCTCAGGTCATTTCCATATAGGCTCCATTTGTATCCTCCACCCAACTTTACCCCACAGAGTGATGCATCTGCTCTGTCAGGCCTTTGGCTGAGGTCAGTTGAGGATACTCTGGTCTTTACAGCCCAGTTCCCAACTTGTAAGGTCACAGTCTTCCCTACAAGTCAAGGCTATGAACCCAGCCACCCAGCATTCCTTCTCTGTGCTTGGAAGGACTTGTTTTTTTTTTTTTGTTTTTGTTTTTAATAATCCCTCAAAAAGAATTGGGACTATTTCCACCTGCCTCTAGCACACAGCAGGACTTTTATGTCTTTTCAGTATTATTGAGATTAAAGGAAGTAAATTAAATTCCTTAGTTACTCTGTGTGAAATCTCTTCTTTCTTCAGCATTTCCCTCCTTTCCTTTTAATGACTGATCTGGATGAAATTCCAAAGCCTTGGCTTGCTTCTTCAATCATTTTGCCACTTAAATACTGAGAATTTTTTTCCTTTGTGGGCTCTATTTTTGTCTCTTCTGATGTATCCTGTAAATGCTCTCCTGCAACTTTGCTACCAGTCAAGCTGTTATATTCCTTTATTTCCTGTACTTTGTCAAAATAATCCAAGAGAAGATACTAGCGGCCTCTCTACTTCTATCATTTGTGTATTCTTTTTGTACTTATGAATGTGACTCTCACAACACCATTTTTCCCCCATTTCCAAGATTAGCAGCTGTTCCCTAAGCACTCAGTGCACTAGTCCTTTCTCAGGCCTCAACTTCTAGATGTTATGGAGAAACAGGCACATGCATGCGCATACATGCATGCACACACACAAGTTTTTGTGTATCCTGTTTTGGAAGATTTTGCTTGTAGCTTCTCTGGATTTTCTGCTTGCATACTTTGATTTCTTCTTCCAGTTTCTTCTGCCTTTGTAACTGGCTGTATATCGCAGTTTACTCCTCGGTTCTTGTTTCTATGGAGGAGCCAGGAATAGAGATGGATGAGCCGTGGAAGTAGGGGAGAGCCAGCAATGATAATGGTCAAGGAATACATAAGTCACAAAACATGTCATTGCTTTCTTAGATTTGGAAATTCCATCATTTAGTCTCACTTACCTTTCAGGTTTGCCTCCTAAAGGCAAGAAAGCTTGGTGCTGGGCATCCTACTTAGAAGAGGAGAAAGCAGTGGCAGTGCCTGCAAAGCTGTTCAGAGAGGTATGGAACCTTCCAGAAGTACTTTGTGTAAGGGCAGAGGAGCAAGAATACTCATCTGAAACCATACTGTCATTTCCATTGTTTAGAAAGTATGACTTGGGATAATTTCTCAGGTATATTGCTTTGCGTGAATGTGTTATGTTGAAACTGTTGTTAATGTGTGCACAGTACAGTACATCACACACTCACACATACTACACTTTTAGTGTTTCCTGGGCTTTCATCCATTTGTATCAGAGGAATATCGTTACTGGAAAACTAGATAAATTTCATGTCTGTGTTATGATAATGAAAATGAGTTATGGAGATTTATGTCTTGTAACAATACATCTAAAAATGGGTTACCATGTGGTATTAGTGATAAGAATGTTTTATCACAAGCAGTTTAAATTAGTTTAAAAATGTAGTTGGGCCGGGTGTGGTGGTGCACACCTTTAATCCCAGGCAGAGGCAGGCAGATCTCTGTGAGTCTGAGGCCAGCCTGGTCTCCATGGTGAATCTAGGACAGCTGGGGCTAAAGGGATACCCTGTCTCAAAAAAAAAAAAAAAAAAAAAAAAAATGTAGTTGGTATAGTTCCACATAGGTGCTCTTGCCCCTGGACTAAGATAGGACCCAGTAAACTTTCTCTGTAGCGGGTCAGATATTTTAGGCTTTGCAAGGCATATGGAATCTATTGCATAATGGAACTTGGCTGAATAACATGAGCTCATCCATAGATAACATGTAAATTAGTGGGAATGACTGTTTCAGTAAAGTCTTAGTTACAAAGCTAATGGTGGGCCAGATTTGATGCACTGATGCATTGAAATTTGCCTACCCATCATTTAAATCATTTAGTGTATAATAAACCTTCCGTGGGTATCATTATATTCATGAATGAACATAGGTAAATGGTGAATAGTGAATGTTAGGATGTCTACATCAGCACTGAAAATTTTAACTTAAACATAGTCATAATTACATACCAACTTGTTCAGGATAATTATTTTCTGTAACAGTAGACCTTCTTGCATTCTAAAAAAGATTTATTTTTAATTATGTGTGTGTATATATGTTTATGTCTATGTGTGGATATATGCACATGAGTATGAGTGCCTGTGGAGGCCAGAAGAGGAATTTGGATCCTCTGGAGCTGTAGTTACAGGCATTTGTGAGCTGCTGATGTGGGTTCTGGGAACAAAATCCAGGTCCTCTGCAAGAGCAAGTGTTTCTGATTGCTGAGTCTTTTCTTCTTCCCCCCTTCCCTTTTTTCAAGTTAAAAAATTACTTAGATAGTAATCCATTCATATGCTTTTAAATGTCAAAGTACAAAATAAAGTATGCCCCTCATAACCTTATTCCTCTAACCACTATTGCTAGTTCTCTTTTCTTCCTAGAAAGTCATAAGCACATATAAGCACTCTACATGGCCTGTCCCTCCAAAACACCATGGTGATGGATGGCCCATACTTTTTTGGACTTTTTTTTTAATTGGACAGTTTGGAGATCATTTCACTTCAGGTCACTGATCCTTTCATCATTTTTTTACACTAAAATACTAATGCATAGTATTTTATTTTATGTTTGTTTCATAAAAATTTAATTTGATCTCTGTTGATTGACACATAGACATATATTTTCAAATCTTTTGCTAGATGCTGTAGTGAATAGCTTCCATTCTTGCCATTTTGCATATATATGAATGTCTTCATTGGATAATTTCCTAGAGTTAGAATTGCTTAATCAGAAGGCTCAATGTTTTATAGATACAGTGAGCTAGTGTTTATACCAGTTTTCATTCCTAGCAATACATGTTCTTGTCTACTTTTGTAGAGCCTTACCAGCACAGTGCCACCGAGCTTTTTGATACTATATCTTAGTATAATTTTATTTTGTGTGATTCTGATGGGCAAGGTTGACTATTTACTCAAACGTAAAAGACAAAGGCAGAAAATCATTAGATTTCCTTTTTGTGATTTGTATATAGTCTTTGTTCATTTTTATCATATCATTCATTGGTTGTTTTCTTTTTGGAATTTTTGAGTGATTTATTAATTTAAATATCTGACAAGAGGTTTGTGTGTGGTGGATAGATGATAGGGATAAAACCCAGAATCTTATGCTAGGGAAGCATTCTACCATAGTCGTAACCCCGGTCCCAAGGACTCTTTTCCCGTTTGTATCACCCCACACGACCAGCTGGAATGTGAAATGACACAGTTGTCTCTCTGCATTACAGCACCAGTCCTTTCCATACAACAAAAATGGATTCAAAGTGGGCATGAAGTTAGAAGGTGTGGACCCTGAGCATCAGTCTGTGTACTGTGTCCTCACTGTGGCTGAGGTAAGTTTTGTCTCTTCTTTGCTCTGAAAATAAAATAATGACTATTGGGGCTTAATAATGGGAAAAACTGTCCTCTGCTGAGGTTTATTTCATGCCAGGCATGTTCTTGGTATTTTATGTACCTTATCTCACCTGGTCATCATAAAAATTCCATCCTGTGCAGGTCATGGTTTTTTCATCCCTGTTCTAGAGGTAAGGGAACAGAGATCAGAGAGGTGAAGTGATCAGTACAGGGCCACACAGCTTCAAGGTGATACTACTGAGATTTGAAGGGAGGTCTCTCTAGTTCCACAGACTGTCATACTGTATGTTCCTTGACAGAAGGAACACAGCAAGAAATATTTATTTATTTGCCTTAGTATTTTGAGGTGTCACTGAAAATTTCAGGAAAAAGTATATCAGCAGATAAAATGGGTCCAGTATATCACTGAGAACACTTCTTTTTAATTCTTTTTCCTTTTGTGGTAGGCTCTGTGCCTTCTTTTGAACCAGAGTTATGGACCTTTTAACTTTCTCTCTAAACGAGTATGGGGTCTTAGGCACTGATTTTCCTAGAGTTCTTTCAGTGACTGAATTTGTATGAAGAATCTTGATTCCTACAGAACACAGAGCCTGTGATGTCTGGGTGATGGTGATCACTGTAGGTAATAACTATAGTTACTTGTAGTATACTGTGTGTTGGGTATTGATTGAGGTGTCCTATACACAGGCTCCAGAGAGGAGCAGCCGCAGTACCAGGTGTCCCGGGCCAGGGTATTTAAGTGAAGGATGTGAACATAGAATGAAGTTTGAAAATTCAGTAAATATGGGTTGATTTTGAGAGATTTAGCCATGAAAGAGGAAGGACCTTGTGTGTGTAGGTGGGGGGGTTATGTGTGTGAGTGTATGTGCATCCTCATATTCATAACATTTGAATGGGCATCTCTTTCTCTAATGCTGGAGGATGGTGAGTTTGAGGCTAGACTCTACATAGTGAGACCCTGTACCAAGGGGTGTGGGGCATCAGCTATGACTGAATGAGTATTGCATGAGCAGCTTTTCATACCTGTGTTTCGTTTTTGCTTAAGCATGTCTGTAAGACCCAACCTCAGACCTCCCAGATTAAAAGTTAATGGATATTATGTTCCTGATGCATGTTGCTGCTTGGTGATCCAAAAGTTTATGAGTTATTAAATCTCACCAAGAATGTTTGAGGATTTATTACCTAAGACTGAGTGACAATCTTGTGCTTAAGTTTTTTTCTTGCCCCTCTCTCCCCTCTTCTTCCCTCCCCTGTCATGAAGCGGGCAAAGGAGCAGATGGGCTCCTGATCCATGAGGGTTATGGGGCTTTACCCTAAGGATGAGTCTTCCTGCACTGAACAAGAAGACTAGATAAAGGCTAGTGTTTTGAGCATAGGCAGCTTGCCTAATTGTTAGCAGATGTTTAAGGGAAGCTTCTTTGACACACGTTGAATAATTGCCTGAGGAATGGAGCTAGTGGGATTGATAGCTGCAGGAAAAAAGAAGACTAGAAAAAATAGTTATGAATAATGAGAGAGGAAGCTAAATGGGTCTGTTAGGAGCATTCTTTTTTTTAAAAAAATACTTCATCGTTTTTATTTTGTGTATGAGTGTATTGCCTGTCTGTTTGTAAGTGCACTGATATCATACAATGCCTGCAGAGGTCTCAAGAGGGCGTCGGATCCCCTGGAACTGGATGCTAGCCACCTTGTGGGTGCTGGGAATTGAATGCTGGTCTTCTGCAAAACTAGCCAGTGCTCTTAACCACTGAGCCATTTCTCTAACCCCTAAGGTTAGACTTGCAGGAATTAAGAGGCATTGTAGTTCCTGCTGGGAATCAGATTCATGGGAGCTTGTGTCTAACATGATGAGGAAATAAAAGGTGCTTCAAGTCCTCAGAATGGAGAGAAAGAGTCAGGTGGGGCCCAGTGTTTTGAGTGAGGACATGGTGAAGTGTAGGACTGAGGATAGCCAGGGTAAGAGATGGTTCAGCCCCATAGCCTAGGCCTTGGAGGAGCAGAGAATAGCAGCTAGTGGTGAAGAATGAAAAATCTTGAGGCAGGGCTTGAGAGGATGTGTGAGGGGATTCTCTGGGTTGAGGATGTAGTAGTTTTTTGTTTGTTTGTTTGTTTACAAAAGCACAGTATTCCAGAGGATATGGAGAAATAGTAGAGAGACTGGGGAGGACAAGGATGTGATCCAAGGAACAGAAGCTCAGAGCAGTGTGACCACAAGTGAGCTAGAGGCTATAAATGACTAGGGGCTTAAGTTGTAGGTAGAGACATCTACATGAAGGCACAGTAGATAAAAGGCCCCTGAGCGTCTTCTAGCACGAGATAGGGGTGGGGATGGGAATGGGAATAGCCCTTTAGCTTTCCTGAACGTTGTATTCCCCAGGGACCCCATTCTCAGCTAGGGCTCTAGACTCAGAGGAGTCAGCTTAATTGTAAATTTTATATATGTGACATATTGATGTATTTTAATTAAAATATAAGTGACATAAGGAGGGTTTTCTTTTTTTTACTCCCCCCTTTTTATTCTCACTTCCCAGAAGAAATCATTATCAATATTTTGTCATATTCTTTTTAAAAAATATTTTATTTTATGTGTATGAGTGTTTTGCCTGCATGTAAGTAAGTGCACCTGTGTTGTGCAATGCCCGTGGAGGATGGAAGAGGCTGTTGGATCCCCTGGAACTGAAGTTACGGACAGTTGTTAGCAGCCATATGGGTGCTGGGATTTGAACCCAGGTCTTCTGCAAGAACAGTCAGTGTTCTTAACTGTTGAGCCATCTCTCCAGCCCCATTTTGTCATATTCTTTAAGACTTTAACTGAATTTTTTAAACTATGAATTTATATATAAGCATGTATGTGTGTGTAAATATGTGTATAAATGTGTGTACATTTTTAGAAGTAGATATACAGCCATATATACATAAGTGCACACATGGACTCCCACATACATAATTTTCTCATAAACTGACTCATCTTGTATAATTTGATCTGCCAGTTGAATTTTAACAGAATGCTTTAGAAGTCTTTCCATAGGCCTGTGAGATGACTTAGTGTGGGTAACGGTACCTACCACCAAGCCTGTTGATCTGAATTTGATCCCGGGGATTCACATGGTGGAAACACAGAACCAACTCCTGCAAGTTGTCCTCTGACCTTCACACACATCCCATGGCATCTGTGTGCACATGTGTTATATATACACATACAGTAAAATAAATAAAAACATTTAAAAATTTTTTAAAAAGAAGTTTTTTTTGACAGTAGCTGTACAGTTCCCTCACTATTTTGGGAATATTGTACTAGCTCTGTACTCTGTCCCCAGCTTTGTGTGGGGCCTTATGCAGTTCTGGTATACCTGGACTGGCTGGAGGTCTGATTCTCTTGGAATATGTTTGTGTTTGTGGGAAGAACATTGAGTGATGAATCCCTCTCTTTAAGAACTCAAGAAAGATAGTGATCCAGCTTAGGCTCCATAAGCCCAGAATGCCCCCAAGTAGGGCCCTGGAAGCATATTCACAGTGTTATATAGAGTGAAAGCATATTGGTATTCCATGGAGATTGTCTTTCCTACGTATGAACTAGGAGCAGGTTTTTTGGTTGGTTGTTTGTTTCTCCCAATGCAGCCTCCAGTGAAGGACTAAGTGACTTGTCTCAGTGTATGTTCCAGCCTTGGTCTGCTGCAGTCAGTGTGGTGAAGCCTCTACCCTGACCCTGAGGGCCCAGCTGCTTACCTGCCATCTTACCATGGTGACTTGTGCTGCTTCAGTTTAGGGAATGCAGAGAGGATAGAGAGGATATTCATTCTCAGGAAGACTGCTTTTAACACCATAGCTTCATGCTCCTAATATCACTAGAGATTTTGCCAAAACTCTACAGATTAACAAATTTTGACAGTATTGCCTTTAGATTTTTGTGGTTTGTGTAGTTGTTTCTGTGCCTGTTGGTAAGGGTGGTTTAATGAACAAAGGCGTGTGTGTGTGTGTGTGTGTGTGTGTGTGTGTGTGTGTGTATGTGTATGTGTACTTGTAAAGAACAGAGTTTGATGTCAGATGTCTCCCTCTATCACTCTTGACCTTAGTTTTTAACATGGATATCTCACTGAACCTGGAGCTCTCCATCTCCAGTTGGGCAAAATTAGTTGGCCAGGAATCCTTCTATCTCTGCCCCTCTAGGGCTGTGATTACAGGTCCCTGACACTGTACCCGGCATTTTTTTTTTTTTTTTTTTTTTTTTTTTTGGTCTTTTTGAGACAGGGTCTCCTCATGTCCTCACATTTGTGAGATGGAAAACACCTTACTGACTAAGCCATCTTCCTATCTCCATTAAGGCCATGTCATACATGATATCTATGCTAATTTATTTTTGTATATGTCAATAGATATTAGATGTATTTTTTACTTACACAATCTGCTTACCTATTTCAGGTTTGTGGCTATCGGATAAAGCTTCACTTTGATGGGTATTCTGATTGCTATGACTTCTGGGTAAATGCAGATGCTCTAGATATCCACCCAGTGGGATGGTGTGAGAAAACTGGCCATAAACTCCATCCTCCAAAAGGTACTGTCACTTTTTGTTTTGTGTTTTGAGTTTAGTAAAACTTGACTTTCTTAAATTATTTTGGTTTTTTTAGAAATCAGACTTTATAATAATTAATTCAAACTTATTGTTCATTATGTCAAATATGTTTATTAAAGTAAAAGAAATAAAATAAAAGTGTAATTTAAGATAATAAACTATTTCCATGTACTTATTTGCATATTAAAGCAATACCTAAATGATGACTTTTTGACTATAAACAGCTTTTAAGTACAGATTTCTGTTATATATATATATGTGTGTGTGTATATGTATTTATATATGCATGTGTACATATATACATATCCTTGAAAACACTGATTTAAGAAATTAGTTTTACTGCTATCTCATTACATAAAAAAATCTTGAGAAGCCAGGTGTGTTGACACACATCCGTAATCCTAGTACAAGGCTAAGGCAGGAGGATCATGAATTTGAGGCCAGCTTGGACTTCAAGAATGAGTTCAAAGCCAAGCTGAATTGCAATAGCTAAATCTTATCTCAATAAAATAAGAATGGAAGGAAGGAAGGGAAAGGGAATGGAAGTGGAGGGAATTGGAGGAGAATGGAGAGGGAAGAAGGAAAGGAAGTGCTCGGGATCAGACTTAGGACTTCATGTTCAGCAAGTGCTTTATCATTGATTTGTACCCCACCCAAACTGAGTTCTTTGCTGTTTTGTTACATGAACCAAGGTTGACCTGAATTCTTCATCCTTTTTTCCTCAATCTCCTGAGTGTCACGTGAGATTATAGGCATGCACCACCATACCCACTGGGATTTTTTTTTTTTATAGTGTAGTCTGCCAGTGTTTTAAAAACCTGTTTTACAGTAATAAAAAAATTCCAAGAAAAACAAATAACTTTCTGAGTCTATCTCCTATGTATTTAATAATAGTTTCTTTTTAAACTATTGAGATGTCAAAAATACAAGCTAACGGTTTGATGTTGTTGCCTATCTTGGGGCTCTTTCTCTTTCTCCTCTTTGTGGTACTGGGAATGGAACCTAGGGATCACTGCACATGCCATGCAGGAGCTCTACCACTGAGCTACACTCCCACCCCAAAGGATTGTTTTATAGTGGGCTACCATCTCTTCATTTTAGGTAAAAAGCTAATGATAGTAATGCATTTCCAGATCACTGCACTTACAAAAAAACACATAGAAATGATAAAGGTACCAAAAAATGTATAAACCTTTCTAGAAATTAACTTCATATTTATATGATTTGTTAACTGTTTTCCTTCTGGATTTTATTGTGAGTAAAATAGCACATTAGCAAATACAGTCAAATGCTCAGTTTCTTCTTTTAAGGAATTGTTGACATTAATGAATTGTGAAAGTGATGGCAAAGATTTGCTAATTCCTCGTAAACCTTGAATTGTCATATTTTTGGTGATGAGGTAAAAAGATTTTACCTTTTCTATTACTTTTTTCAAGCTTCCTATTTGTTTATATTAGTCCCTCAAAGTAGACTAGGTGAGGGAAATATAAAGAATTTGACTACTCCAGCTTGCTAGTACTACTTCTGAGGAATTCTAGTTACATGCTGATGGAATCAGCCTGGCAGTCGATACAAAGCATACGAGGTACAAAACATTTGCTTCCCTACTCCTTTTCTGTATTCCTATTACCACTCATTTAGAATTGAAAATGACAATAAAATTTGTTGAAAATAAGCACAACCTATATCTAGAATATAAATGGTTATAGACTATGAATTGAATTTTATTTATTGAAAAAAAATCATTTGATTGCTTGATTCAGACAGCTTACAATTATAGATAAAAGTAGGATTGAAAAATTAACTGAATAATATTTTGCATTTTACTACATCTGTTCACGTACGCTTTTACTCTAGGATATAAAGAAGAAGAATTTAATTGGCAGTCCTATCTTAAGACATGCAAAGCCCAGGCTGCTCCCAAGTCATTATTTGAAAATCAGAACATAGTAAGTATATCAAATACATTTCCTCTCAAAGGGAGTGATTTTTACTATCTCATAGGATAAATCACATGTAATAACAGGAACGATAATCAATTTTATTGCCTTGGTAGGGTTCTCTTATCTTAATTAAACTTTAAAATTAGCTTAAAATCTTCATGAATAAATATCTATTTTATAGACATACTGTCATTGTCCTACTGAATGTTAGACGCCAACATAGTATAAAATCTAGTTGTGATTTGCACTTAAGGTGCATGGAAATTAATTGACTGGAATATTTTACTGTTGCCATTGTTTAATTAGGAGCACTTGTTCTGATGAGAGTCATACAGTGTGATAGATTCAGCCCTGTTTGAGTTCACAGGCAGGAGTTCACAAGGGACCATCATGTCCCTTTATTGCAGCTTGTAGCTTTGTTTGCAGTGCAGCAAAAGCAAAGGCAGATGTGTATGCGTTTTCTCCTTTGCTTGTCTTTCTGCTTTCATTCCATGTTCCTCTGGTGGCATTTCTGAGAGGGCCTGATATATTGCAGTCTTCCTTCCCCAAGTTGTGATCTAATTAGAACAGGAGCAAGTAAAATGTCATCTTTATAGCTGACAAGGACTAGATTGTACAACATGTACGACCTTTCAGTGCCAACAAATTAGCTTCTTGATTCTGATCACTGGAATCAAAGGGATTTATCCTCCTTCACCCCTACAGTACCAGGGAGCCCTGCATCAACAGACAAGGGTAGAAACCATGCACTCTGCAGCCTAGCTTTCTCTTCAGAGTGTAACCATTCTTCTCTCTAGATTCATCCTGTAGGTAACTCAGTGAGAGGATGGGGGGATCAATGTCACTAACAGGCTTCCCTCCAAATGGGAACAGATTTCATTAGTGGGAAAGCCTTCCATTTGGGCAGAGATGTCAGTCAGCTGGTTTGAAGGTATAAATCTAATGAAAGAAATGATCTCTGATTAAATTGAACAGAAACTAGGTTGAATTAAAGAATTGAAGCATGTGTGTGTGTGTGTGTGTGAGAGAGAGAGAGAGAGAGAGAGAGAGAGAGAGAGAGAGAGAGAGAGAGAGAGAGAGTGAGAATGAGCGAGCTTTCTTTATTCTCTATCAGCTTACTTTATTACCTCTTAATTGGACAGATAGCTTAATTACTAGAATGTAAATACTGCCTTGTCAGTATATATTCTCTGACAAGACATCTTCCTGGAGGAAGGTCAGTTAGATGAAACTCACCTCTGGTCTATGGCTGGTCCTGATGACTTTAGTCAAGATATGATTAACTGCCCTGAATTGTCATTCTGCATTCTAGACATGGCTAACATTCAGCCTAATCCTAGGCTGTATTTTGGTATTTAAAGGGCAATTAATTTTTCTGTTTCTCAGTTCTGTACCTCAGAATTCTCAGATATTTTTGGTCCTCAATGATACATAATTTGGAAAATTGAAAATGATAAATTTTCAGATATAACTCTACATTTTTGCAACCATAGCTACACAATTACTATAAAATGGTAGACAGCATTTGTTTCATTTAAAGCATTAGAATAATACCCATATACTTCATTCTGAAATGAAGGGTTTTTATAAAAAGGTAGAAATGACTTAGAATGTTTTGTGGTTGACATAACAAATACTCGTGTACTCTACTCTGAGATTAGGATTTTTTTTCACAGAGGATTATGAGAATTGTTTACCCATTACTGTCCCTCAAGCCACTAACTCAATGAATTTTTTTTGCTACTTTTGTCGCAAGTCCTAGATAATCTATGGAGTTCCTTAAAATATCAAATATGCTGAATGACAATATGCACTAATAGCAGTTCTGCTGCTGCTCTGAATAAAAGCTATCTGTAGTATTATGTTAGTGGTAATAATTTGCAGTTTTTCGTCTATGAAGGTTACCTACTTTCTGTAGAGTACTCAAGAGGTCTGCTCAGAAGTGGAAGTGAATTTGTACTGAGTCCTGCACGTTTTAAATTTGATTAAGTATTTATTTTGTGTGAAATAGTTTTCCAACCTGTAATCAAGGAAAAGAAGGCCAAACTCTGAACTATATGGTGAATAAAACTTGCCTGCCTAAGTAAGTCTTTTAACTAAGGTATCAAAACATGTTAAACTTAATTATTTTAAACCCTACAGGTTATGAATGTTTTAGTTTTGAGGCTCAGATAGTTAATTGGATGTAGCTACAGAGCTTTATTTTTTTATTGTTGCTGAAAGCAACCCCCACTATGAGGCTGGCAAGGATTTTTAAATTATGTGACTACAGCTATAGATGCTGGTCCTTGAAGTAAGGGTGCAGAGTGTGCAGGTCTTGCTGTTGTGAAGTGTCCTTATCTCTAATTAAATCTGCATGTTTCCATAGACAGTGATCCCATCAGGCTTTCGAGTTGGAATGAAGCTTGAGGCTGTAGACAAAAAGAATCCTTCATTCATCTGTGTTGCTACGGTAACAGATATGGTGGACAATCGTTTCCTGGTACATTTTGACAATTGGGATGAGAGCTATGACTATTGGTGAGACATTAATGCATGCTTTTGAAAATTTAATGATTATCTAGGGAAAGTAAGTATACAATTCAAAATCAGGAACAATGAAAAGTTTATAACAAAAAAAAAAAAAACCAAAAGATCTAATGAGGCATGGTGGCTCACATAATCATATCACTTGAGAGGTGAGGCAGGAAGGGCAGAAATTCAAGATCACCCTCTCCTATCTAGGGAGTTTTGAGGCCAGCCTGTACTACGTGAGACCTTGTCTCAAAAATAAACAAAAAAAACAAAAATCAAAGTTCTACTGTTCTCTTTCCTAGTTCAAATTTTTAAGTTTTTACTTGGTCCAAATTACATTTCTAATTAACATCCTTTAATGTTATTTCAGGATCTGTATTTGGCTTGACTTCCTAATATGGAAGTAAAATGTACACACCTATATTCCCAACATATACCCACATATACGTGCATATACAGACTCACTTTCCCTCTATCTTGAATGTCTTCTATGACTTTTAACAAAAATTTATTTATTATTTTTATTTCTTGAGTATGAGTATATTGTCTGCATGTATGTAAGTACACCCCTGTCATGCAGTGTTCTCAGAGATCAGAAGAGGGTGTGGGATCCCCTGGAACTGGAGTTACAGATGGTTGTTAGCTGCCATGTGAGTGCTGGGATTTGAATCAGTCTTCTGCAAGAGTAGCCAGTGCTCTTAACTGCTGAGCTATCTCTCCAGCCCCTGTCTTCTGTGATTTTGGGGGGAACTTGTTTTAATCATCTTTTCATATCCTTATACTCAGTAGCCAATTTAACTAATCATGATAGCTGAATACAAATAATATAGTTAAGGAATATTGTTTTCATTCTCACCATTGTTAGATATACTATATAAAGCAGTTAAAGCACCATACTGTGAAATGGTATCATTATAAAATAGTTTCAGTAAAGCAATCGGTTTTTTCCATGTGTGTATGTGATTCTGAGGAATCACATACCAGGTATCTGCTAGGCAAGTGCTCACCTTGTGGCCATAGCCTAAGCCATCAAATTTTGATTAAACAGTTGATTACTAGACTTGATTTTCCTAGCGAAAGGCATCTCTGAACATGTGAATATGTTTTTGATAGCATGTGAAATAAAAATATTTTAGAGACATACAGATATTACTAATATTATAATTAAAAATTAATTTATGTAAATATAGCTGCATTTCACTTAAGATTTTTCTATTACATTTATTTATATGTATTGGGCAGGGCACATGCAGAGGTCACAGGACAACTTTCTGGAGTTGGTTCTCTCCTTCCAGCATGTGGGTCCCAGGGATCAAACTCAGATTGTCAGGCTTGGCAGCAGGTGCCTTTGCCTATTGATCCATCGCATGGTCTGTATTAGTAACTGTTTGTTGCTGTGATGAAATACCATGACCGAAAATGAATTATGGAAGACAGGGTTTATTTTTCTCTAGAAGGGGAATCCATAATGACAGGAAGGCATGGCAAGTGGCCAGAGCAAGAAGTTGAGAGATCACATTTCTGTCCACATGCGGGAAGCAGAGAGAGCCAAGTGGAAGTGAGGCAAGGCTTCAAACTTTCAAAGCCCATCTCCAGTGGGGATCTACTTCCTCCAGCAAGGCTAGACATCCTAAACATTTCATGGCCATCCCAAACAGTGCCACCAACTGAGGACCAAGTATTCAAATACCTGAGCCTGTTAGGGACGTTTCTGATTCAAAAACAGCATGCTGGCTCTACATTTCAGTTTTTAATATGCATACTCAGTAGATCCCTCAGTAATTCTCATCACTCCTCAAACTTGATTTTTATGTACTCATCAGTTTTACGTGAATGCTTTTTAAAAAGGAGAAACACTGAATGCATATTTGTGTGTGTGTGTGTGTGTGTGTGTGTGTGTGTGTGCATGTGCCTGTGTATGGGTCTGTATGTGCGTGAGTGTGGAGGCCAGAAGTTGAAGTCAGCTGGCCACTCTCAATCTCTCTCCACTTTATTTACTGAGGCAGGATCTTTTGTTGAATCTGGAGGGCACTGAATCTGCTTGTCTAGCTAGTTTGAGACATCAAACTGGGAATTCCCTTGACTATCTCCTGAGTGCCAGGATTGCTCGCGGGTACCATGTCCACATGGCTTCTGTGTGGGTGCTGGGGATCCAGACTCTGGTCTTCATCCTTGTGCCACAAATACTTTATTCACTGAGCCACCTCTGTAGCCCCCTAGACATCAAATTTAAATCCGATTGTTGTCCATATTTGGGGGAGGAATGAAGTAGGAGTTAGGCTATCACTATGTGGTTCAGTCTGCCCTCAAACCCAAAATCCTACCTCAGGATTCAACGTTGTAGAATTACAGACTTGTGCCCCCATGCCCTACAGGATTTATTTTGTTCTATTTATTTTTATTATTTTTTATTTTTGTCTTTTTGAGACAGGGTCCCGCTTACCTGCAACTCACTATGTAGACCAGGTTGGCCTTGAACTCACAGAAATCCACCTGCCTCTGCCTTCCTAGTGCTGGGATTAAAGATGTGCACCACCACACCTGGCTCTGTTTTCTTTAAGTGGCTTTAGGTCCAGATAAAATAGATAATTCACAGTTATTTTCATGTTTTTCTTGATCTCTTTTAATGTATAGTTCCCTATTCTCTATTTTTCCCCTTGTAAAGTATAATGAAAACCAACAACAACAAAAAGGTTATTAACTACTGTTGAGTCTCCCACAATCTGAATTTGCTAATTAAATCCTTGCCATCCTGTGTTCCTTTTATTTCCTATAAAATGATGGGATTTGTTTCATTTATAATCTTCTGTACCTAGAGTGGGTAAAGAAATGAGAAAACTTTAAATTTAGAAATAGTCTAATTTCGCCATGCATGGTGCACACCCCTGTAATCCCAGCACTCAGGGGAAGAGGCAGGAGGGATCTCTGTGAGATCAAAGCCAGCCTGGTCTATATAGTGAGTTCCAGTCCAGCTGGTGCTACACAGAGACCTTGTCTCAAAAAGAAAAGAGTCAACTCTGACCTGAATCAAACATGTTCTTCTCCAGTGTTAATGAAGTGTGATGACGACAGTTCCAGAGCGGTGGCCTGGGATCCAGTCTCTGTAATAAATGAGGCTACATCAATTACTAGAATTTTTTAAAAATTCTAGAGTGTTTATGTATTATTATTATTATTGTTGTTATTGTTATTGTTGTTTCAGTGCTGAAAATGAAACCCAGGACCTATCATTAAGTTATATCCCCAGCTTATGTTTTGTTTTTAAAGTTCTGGTTCATTAGGGAGAATGCTTTCTAAGCTTTTGTGTGATTTAAATAAAGTGAGTGACTATTAGTTTATTTTTATGGCCTCATAAGTATCAATGTTTTGAAGCCATTAATTGCTTCTTTCATATGACGTACTGCCTTTGCAAATAACTTTCTGAGAGAAAATAATGAGTAAGTCAGGAAAAATTTGGCACACTCATTTCTTTGATGTCAAGTGCCTAGGGAATAAAAAGAAAGGATCCTGGGTTCTTTCTGAGAAAGTGCAAAGTAAAAATTGATCTCTTCTAATTGGTTTTGCACTTTTAAAAATATAAACTAATATCATTGTTTTTAGGCTGAAATATACTTTGAGGATTATTTATATTTCAGTGGACATGAAATCAGATTTTGTTAATTGTCAGAAAAAGAAACAGTGTGTGTTTCCTCCCTCAATATACAATTAAGGCACATTGGAAATTGCTTAAGTGCACTGGAATTTCTCTAGTTTTATTGAAGATTATTTTCTCTGGTCTTTGAATTTTGAAATGGTTTTTATATATGTAAATTACTTCGGTGTGTAATTGAGGTTGCAGATTGACTTGTCTTTCTCAATTTAGTTTTGAAATGAGATTCCCACTCCCCTCTGAATTAGCTAGAGATCCTTTATCTCTTTTTTAAACGAGAGGGAATTGAAAGCTTGTATCTGTCTGTATACATGCTACATGTTTAGTTGTAATAAAGTATTTCTTCCTTCAAAAGAGGAACATGATGAAAATTTACTCAGGATTGAAGAGGTGGATTTTTTATGGAAGGGAAATAGTATATGTTAGAAATAAAATTGCTTTACCTCTGGATTTCTTTTGATCTCAGTTGATAACTGTTTGATTCTATATTCCTGACAGTTGTTAGACTTGGGAATAATTTTACATATAATAGAATATTGAAACTAGAGGACTTTAAAGATCCAGGAGGGGAAGTGTGGACCTTAAGGGCACTGCCCCCCACCCCTCCACGGCATGCAGAATGTCTTTCACTCCTTTCTGCTGCCTGATGTTGAGCTCTGGGACAAAACATAGAAAACAGTCGTCTTTTCTTCCCCCTAGGCACTGGGAAACCATCTTCCTTATAAGAAATGTTACTTTCATGTGACCCTGTCTTTGGGGATTTTGGAAAGCATGATAGCAGGACTTAGTGTGTTGCTTAGCCCAAAGACTTGAGTGAATATACTTGCAGCTTCAGGCACATTTGGTACCATTTTGATGTGGTGTCCAGTGAGTAAGGGCAAAAGTCAGCAATGAGCAGATCTGTGGAAAGGGAAGCATTAAGTTCGTGATTTAGAAGAAACATCAGGCTGGGGTCTTTTTCTCAGTTGCAGTAAGTATATGACAAACTTTTAAAAATATTTTATTTATTTATTTTTTATTATTTTATGTGCACACATGTATCGCCTGCATATAGGTGAGTGTACCATGTTTTGCAATGCCCGCGGAGGACAGAAGAAACCATCGGATCTCCTGGAACTGGAGTTACGGACAGTTGTTAGTGGTCATATGGGTGCTGGGATTCAAACCCGGGTCTTCTGCAAGAACAGTCAGTATTCTTAACTGCTGAGCCATCTCTTCAGCCCGACAAACTGTTTTTAAAAATAGATCATTTTTATATTTATAAATTTAGAGTAATAATTCTTTCCCTAATGTAATATTGATATGTTTTCAACATAGTGTTTTAAGCAGTATCACAGTTGACAGGCTTTCATTACTG